GAGCCTTCCACGCTCCTTGTTGGTTTCCTGACGCTTGTAGTGGGCATCGAGATCGATCCTGGGGGTGGCCTTGCGCTTTGAGGCTTTGGGCAGCTCAGAGTCTTGCTGAGGCTCACACCAGGTAGAGATCGGATTGGAATGTGTGTCAAAAAAGCCGCGCGCTACAGCTGAAACTGCTTGCGCTGAAAATACGCGGCCACTTGTGTTAGACACTAAGCAGGGATGCAGAAAATGTCAGATTGTTTCTAATGTCACGGTAACACCGGACAAGAGATCAAAAAGACTAAAAAGGGACAGTCACGTGAAACGTGCCACCCTGATCCCCCTGAACCCTATGTGGCGCAAGAGCCTGTTGACTTACTGGTCGATGTGGCAGACACAGGAAAGGGTGAGAGATATATGAAGGAGCTGGTGAGCTCAGTGAGTGCTATGGGTAGTAGACGAGGAGAAACAATCTGAGGTTTCGTCCCCTACATGGCTGGTCTTATATACAGGTACAGTGGGCTATCTTACCTAAGCTACCTATCTACGGGTATAAGCAAATGGCCGTATATGAAACAATAGGATGTCTGGAAGTAGAAAAATAAGTGAGAAGATCGATGGTTGCCGCAGTAATGCATGTGCACATCGTGCCTATCTTGGTTTCCCTTTTGTTCTCCGGTGTGAACATCGTACCTATCTAGGCTTCTGGCTAAACTAATAGGAAGTGGAAGGCCGATGCATAACAATAGTCCTTGTTCCCTTTGTTCCCAAATGGGTGCCTCTATTGTATTCTGGAATAGACAGGTCTGACCGTATCATCCACGGGTCTGGACCATAACATGTGATGTGGACTATCACCTGATCTCTACGCGTCGCGTTTGTGGCTGAGTGGCGTGAGATATTGGTGAAGCACGTGATCTGTGGTGTGAGAAAAGTCATGTGCGGACTTAGTGGCAAAAATCTGTGACACTGTCCGATCGTAGAACTGCTGTCTTCCACATTCTCGAAGATCATCACCATTCCAGTCGCACTTAGAGGTACTACTCACTTTGGTGTGCATGCTTCACGATACTTGTTGCGCATGTCCGGCGATATCGACAGCAACTCCTCCATGGACAACATTACTGCTGATGCCTTCATGGACCACTAGAAAACTGTAGTCGCAAGCTCCGGCTGGTAGACTGGTGGTGCATTGTGATAAGCTGCATCTCGTGCTCCAGGCTTTGGTGCTTGCCCAAAATTACGCATATTCAGTGAAACCTATACTGCATCTCAAACTGATCAGTAAGGATGCTCTGGAACTGGGTCTGCAACTACTGGCGTAGACAAACTCGGCACGCTCTCAGTGGCCCTTTCTGGCTCCGCCTGAGGCTTTTGTTGCTCGGGTGCCTTCTCAGACTGTGCTGGCTTTGCGGCTGCTCCTGCCGGTAGCCTTAGCAGCATATGACCTCCGTCAAAGACTGGTCGTGATCACTTTAGATTGAACAACTCTTGCTCCAGCACTTCGATTCTATCTTCTGCACCTATCGAGAATGAGCTGGCTTTGTCTTATGAGACCTCAAATAGATTTGCTGCTGAGACCGATGCCATGACTGGGGTCTGATTGTGCCTGTGCCACTCGTAAATCTGATCATGAATGGTGATGCCTGACATTGTGCGAGGGACGAAGGTGCCATTCGGTAGGACAATATTTTTGGCTGCATTTCACATGCACTTGCCATTCTTTATGTTCTCCTCGATGTGCTTGCATGTTTTGATCATACCCCCAGCTTCTCTGCAATAGTGGCAGAATCCACTCGGGTTCCCATTTGCGACTGGTGGTCTGCTTGCTGCCACAGTTTGACTCCCATTTTGCTTCGCAACTCTCCCTGTCACAGCTGCTGTAAGCGTCTGAACTGACTTGATCAAGCTTTCGATGAGCAAGGAAATATCCTCACTGTCACAGCACGCCGATGACGAAGATAGACAACCAAATAAGAGTCCCCTTGAGGGTCTCTGGCAAAAGCCGACAGCAATAAGCTGTGGTGATATGACGTGCCCACTGATGAGGCCCAGTTGCTATGTCACGAAGGGAGACTTACTGGTGAAGCAAGGGGCACGATCACAAAGGTGAGGATGCAAATAAATGTATAGCACACTGAGAGTGTCTGGTAAGACCCCTCTGTGATGGTAGTGGTGGACCAAGAAGAATAAGACTGAGATCTCCTCCTCATCTCGCTGGTCCCTATATACATGATTGTCTAGCTACTGTACAGTACTACATAAGCGGGTTACACGCTACTCTACTGGTCAGTGCTACAATCGTACCACATGTTCCAATTATCCTGATTGGCTGCCTAATAATAACTCACAGAGATGGAGCTCCCTTTGAGCACGCAATATTGCATCATGACTATGGCGTCATATGACACAATGCCGAGGGGCTCGGTGTCACGTGACAATGTCGAGAGAGATCTGAGGTCATGTGACTAGATGCCTTTATCCTATCTCTCATTAGGTCATGTGACTTCTTGTGCAACGTGAAATGATGAAAATAATATGCTTCTAATAGCATTTGTTCATATAATTACTTGCCAGGTAAAAACTGTGACACTCACTCTTGATTGCGGATGGGCTGCTAGTTGAAGCAGTCACATTTGGCTTTACTGTGGTTAGCCCTGCGCTAGTGCCATGCAACACAAACTTTGCTGCCTCGTAGACATCGTTTACCAAGTAGAGATCATCTGGGTAATGGTCTGGCTGCTTCAGCGGTAGGCATTGCAAAATCCGATTCCATAGCTCTGGTGAAAATCCTTGAACGAATGCACGATTGCATTCCGACTCTGAAATGCGAGTCTTTCCGATGAGAAATGAGGTGATGGCTAGGAACTCTCGATGATAGTTCCCTAGTTTGGCGATGGTCTGAATTCCCAGTCAGGCTCGCTCTCTGACTAAGAGATCCATGTCTCGCACTTCCCACTTTCACTCTGTATCTGCCCCTGGATACAGCTCCTGGATGGCTTGTCGCAAATCGACATAGATCTTCGTTCGATCGGTATATTCTGGAAGTGACTCAACGAGGTCAGCAACGTCTATATTGAGGTAACGTTTCACCCATAGCTTCTTTTCCGCTTTGGTGTTTACTTGGGAATGCGTAAATAGGATTTCTAGATCATCGAAGAAGCGAAAGAGAGTTCTTGGCTGATCAGGATCGAATGTAGGTGCTGATCGATCACCACGGAACGGCATCTGATTGGTTATTACTGTTCCCATCATGACTGTGGCTGTAGTAGTCGATAGATTAAGTGTTTGAGATGGGTTCTTGACTGGATTCGATGCTTGTTCGGCTACGAGGGCTGTTTCTAGCTGGTCTAGAAGGGTCCTAATTGGGATTTCTTGTGACAAAGCCTCAGAGATGTGTTCCGACTGGGCTTCTACCGTCGAAGACTCGGACGAATGGTGCGATAGCGGGGTAAGTGAACTAAGTGGACTGAGGGTTCTAGAAGCTGGTGATGTCAATCGTGAAGCTGAGGAACGTGTTTCGAAAGACAGAGATGGTCGAAAATTGGCTAAGTGTGGTCGGTCTTCTTCTGCTTGCTCGAATCTGGCCCTCTGAAACTCGTGAAGTAGCCTAAGTCTTTGATTGAATGACGAGAAGACTTCTTTATCCGATGTTTCACCTATTGTGGTAATCCTGACTCTGTTTCAAGGGGATACCGAACTCCTTCTTTGGTTTCTGATCGTAAGGCTGACAACTCAGTGCTGTGAAACTTTAAATTCTTTCCACCCCTCGCGGTGGGCTCCAGAAATGATATGCTCAACTGCATCCTGGCCGTGAGCAGCGCTCCTAATGAAACCCCTACTGGTGGAAGGCAAACCGGGGCTCTGTCCATCCGCGATCCCTTTAGGCTACGGTCGCAGGAAACTTCAGATGATAACGCAGCAACGGGCGGCCATGAGTCGTTTGGCTGTGATGCTCAAAACGGAGTCAGATTGTCAACAGTTCTGGATCGGTGAGTGTCGGACTCGATTGTATGGATGCCTTTCACTGGGAAGCAGTCGAATGCCAGAATGCGGGGGTGTGTGGATGAAGAACGCGATTGGCGACTCTCGTACTCATGAACTGTAGTGACTGAAGGTCTGGGCTGGGGCACGAGGACCTTCTATATCTGGAAAGTGCTGGTCAAGCACTGACAATGAACCCCTAACTGCTTCCAAACTGGAACAAGCGTCGACGATGAACCCCTAACTGCTTTTGAACTGGGTCAAGCGCTGACGACAAACACCTAACTGCCTCTGAACTGGAATGAGCACTGATGATGAACTCCTGGATGCTAGCGAGGCTACAGGATCCGATGGGGACAGAATCTTGGTTTGAGACTTGTGACTGGTGGCGTGCGAGCAAAATGCAATGGCGTGAGATACAAAAATGTGATAACGTGACTTATCTGGCTGAAACTCAAGTTGAGCTAGAGACCACTGCTGAGAGTGCTGCCTCTCTCAGTGTCGAGAGTTCCAGAGATGTAGGACGTGATCGCAATAGACGTAGACATAGTCGGACACGACACCCTATGTAGACAAGATGAGAACTGAGTGCTGCTGCTTGGGGAACTCCATTGAAAACTCTCCTATTATTCCTATGTACAGTGTAGATTATATAGTGGATCAGACATGAGCCAGCTGAGTCGCTGAAACATGTTTCCGATCATACATTGTGTTTTTGATCCATTGAAACCTGTCGCAGAGCTCATCCCTGCCCCCTCTCCATATTATACATTCAGTGAACTGGAAGTCCTGCCCTGCCAGGGTCCGTCGGTCTGCTACCCAGTCACATTTCGCTTTTGCACTGCCCCTTGTAATCAGCTATGCTTCCTCATGGCTCGCTCGTTATTTCCATGCCTCATGTTCACCTTCTGACCCCTTCATGCGGTGCCAAGTTCCCAGGCTGTCAGTAAGGTCTTCTTTGCTCACTTGGGACTGTTCCAGCTCAGTGTTTGTCTTTCTGAATCACGGTGACTCACTATCCGATTGTGCGATAGTCAGACACAGTTTCTGGCATTTTTCCGATCGCAGAATATCTCGGTGCGTATCAACATCTCACCTGGAGGGATAGAGTAGCCCTCGCTGAACAGCTGTTGCACACTGCATCAGAAAATGCGGAAGGAGGCAGGGGAACATTCAAAGACCTTGAAGTGGTGGATCAACCAGTTCATGCTCTCCTTCATCGATAAGCGAGGAGGAGGAGAAAGCTTGTGATCAGCGATCTTGTACACTCCGGTAGGCATCTTATTCAGATGCTGATGAATGATCTGGAGCAATTCACACATCTCTTGCACTTGACAGAGGTATCGATCATAGCAGTCCCCACTCTTGCTGACAGGTATGTCGAACCTAACCTGACAGAGCATAAGGTGTTCAGGACTATGCACTTAAGAGGCTCACAATTAGCGAAAAACTCTACCTCGTCATACTTGTCATATGAAGCGACCCTCCTGATGTCCCATGAAACACCACTACCTCGCAGGGTAACACCACTGAAGCTATAATCGAGCGCCTCCTTCACCGTGACAACGCCGATGCTGATCGTCCGCTCCTTCTAGATACGGTCACCCCTTACAACCTCCTGAATCTCATTCACCTGCGAACTAAACTGAGTCACCCACTGGAAGATATCCTCCAGCAGTGCATGCGGAAGGTGAAATGCAACACCACCAGGACAGATGTATGCCGCGTGCAGGCGAGCACCGGAAACGCGCTCGTAGAACTCCATTAGCTTTTCTCGCTCAAAACCCCACAGAAAGGGTGGAATGCACCAATGTCCATAGTGTGCGCTGGAACCACCATGAGATCTGCATCGTAGCGATCGAAGCGATGATTGGAGAAGTCAGACCGAGATACATACGGTTCAGCATACCAGTGATTTCTCTGAATAATGTTCGAATCCACTTTGCACATTCTGCCACCTCAATTTTCAACATCTTCTCGATGGTAAGAGTGTAGCACAGCTCATTTGTCACTGACAGGGCTGAATTCTTTACGATCGCACAACCTGGTCAGGTGAAACGACATACTCATAGACATATAGTCGAGCTGATCGAAGTACAGAAGGGCTTGCATGTAAGTCTTGTATTCAATGAGCTTTTCTGTCTCACGATGAAGGAGGCTGGCATGCTGGATGAGAAGAGTTCCAATGAATGATTTACAAACCTGACAAGATTACTGTGAGCTTACTGGATCCTCACGCAAAATCTCCTCTCCGTTCAGCTCAAAAATCAACCAAAGCACACGGTGGGCAGTAGGATGCTGAGGACTAAATCATGGTCAATCTCACATGCCAGGAGCACACAAGAAAGCATAGGGTATCTCACCCAAAGTTTACTGAGGCCCAGCATGCTCATCAGCACAACGATGCGGCGATAGGAGTAAATGAACCGCTTACCAGTGAAATGTCGCATCTGCATGTCCCTTCTTGTGCCCGTCTCTGCCAGAATTTTGGAGGCAGGCATTTTGTGGAGGTCCTCTACAGTATGCAGATTAAACAGAGTTTTTACTGACCTCTTCTCAGAGGTGGCAGCGGTGGAGTCAGTGGCCACAGTCTCATGATGGGACATGGCAGGGGTGCTTGAGAGGTGATGGTGGCTCAGCAATGATGCAGAAGTGGATGCAGCAGAGGGCAGGTGTGAGGCTTGTGTGAGCTGGCAACAGAAGAGCGTTGAGGTCAGTGCCAAACGGGACTGTTTTCAATTGACGCAAAGCTAACACCATATTTGGTAGCTTGCAGTCATGGTCCCGTGACTCTCCCATGCAGCACGCTTTCAGATTCAGATGTGTACAGATGCATAACCGTTCTTTGCTTGCCCACTCACTGCTCATCTTGTAGCATTGCAACATAGCACGGCATGAAGACATTTTTTATCTGCATACTGTCCTTGCACTGCTCGCCACGACCGGTACTGCTACGCTGAATGAACAGCCTTGCACCGCTCATGATGGAGATGATTATTATGACCTGAGCTCTCTTAAGTCAAGGTATGTCTGTTCATAGGCACAAGGATGGCTCACTCCACTGTTCACAGTGAAATATATTCCTTCAATAAAGCTATGAACTACTTTATGCCAGTCTTCTAGTACCGATTACAGATTCAAGTCGCCAGATGACTATGAGTTCGTCTTGAACATTTGCGAGCCAGTCATTTCAGATATGTGGGTGATCAAGGTAGATGACCCCATGATTGTCGGTGGGTTCCCTCATCACGAATGTGGAGACGTCTCCATCGGGTGAGTTGGTCGACAAAACTTCTGTACCTTCAATGATGAGAATACGCCAATAGGAATTAATACAAATTCTACTCTGATGTTTCAGAATGGTCATCCAGTATTCCTGATGACAGGTGGCTCTCGCTGTCCTGGCATCGATACTTTGACTGCCTCTACCGTCATTCAGTTCATTTGTGATACTTCTGTGTTCGATGCTGGTGTGTCATGAATGCTAGCTCAGTCACAGTTTACCAACTCGAGTTTAGGTCAACCCAAGTTGGTTGCACAATAGACTCCAATGGATGTGGATGCATGTTCTTTTTTTATCGAGTGGAGAACCCATGTCAGTAATTGCACCCAGACATTCACATGCATTATTAGCCTTTGATGCTGATTCCCATGGTAGGTAGCTTGCCCTACCCATGAGAAAACTGTTAGAATAGGATTCGTGACAGTCCTTGCCACGACGTGCACCAATTGTACATTGCTTCGATACTGATTGCTTACGTTACATAGATTGACAACATTATCTATGTTGTACATCCTAGTGGGAACATTCTACAATTGTTCCATCCTCGAACTTCGCAGTTTTGAGCAGATCCCACCCATATCGTTTTTTCGCCTTCAGCGACATCATCACATTCTTCAGTGGTTGCATGGACAGAACACGACACCAACCTTTCTGGCATTGGCAGGACAGGCAGTGGTCCTGGCTATACCAGCTGGCAGAAAGAGGAGGCTATGAGGCCAGACCACTGGGCTTTTTAGATGAGCACGATGAGGAAGACGTACGTCCTCAAGGCGCTCACGGAAGTGAGAATGCAAGGCCGGCGGGAATTGACCCTGACAGCATTATATCACCTTAACGTTATGTGCCATAGTTGTCATTCCATGTTTGCTTATCGGGCACCTGTTGTACTGGTAATAGAAATCAATCAAGGCTTGAGATAATGCATGAGGCCGACAGCTGCAGTAGTGCACCTAACGATCTCACCATGCTCCCAGGTCTGTAAGCGGAGTTCGAACTGTGAAGCCGAGCTGTGGGAAGCAGCAAGCACAGGCTACAAGTCTGATCTGTCTGAATGCTGCAATAACTTCACAATCAGTATTGCACCTGAATGGTCTCTGAGCTCAAACTCAACTTGAAATCTGCTACTAACTGCCTGTCACAGATTTTCACCACAAAGTCCGCACATGACTTTTCTCACACCACAGATCACGTGCTTCACCAATATCTCATGCCACTCAGCCACAGACATGACACGTAGAGATCAGGTGATAGTCCACATCACATGTTATGGTCCAGACCCGCGGATGATATGGTCGGACCTGTCTATTCCAGGATACAATAGAGGCACCCATTTGGGAACAAAGGAAACAAGGACTATTGTTATGCATCGGCCTTCCGCTTCCTATTAGTTTAGCCAGAAGCCTAGATAGGCATGATGTTCACACCAGAGAACAAAAGGGAAACCAAGATAGGCACGATGTGCACACGCATTACTGCAGCAACCATCGATCTTCCCACTTATTGTTCTACTTCCGGACATCCTATTGTTTCATGTACGGCCATTAGCTTATACCCGTAGATAGGTAGCTTAGGTAAGATAGCCCACTGTACGTGTATATAAGACCAGCCATGTAGAGGACGAAACTTCAGATTGTTTCTCCTTGTCTACTACCGTAGCACTCTACTGAGCTTACCAAGCTCCACCATATATCACATACCCTTTCCTGCATCAGCCACCTCGACTAGTAAGTTTCAGGCTCTTGCGCCACATAGGGTTCAGGGGGACTATTTGGGATCAGGGGGATAAGGGCAGCACGTTCCATGTGACTGTCCCTTTTTTAGTCTTTTTGATCTCTTGTCCAGTGTTGCCGTGACACTGCCGCACTTAGGCATCTTGTGTAAGGTGTGTATCTGGTCATTCCAAAAACTGTGAGAATTGTATGGGCTTTGAATCACCTGGCCACAGTACATAAGCTGTCATGCATTGTGTCGCAGCGGCTGAGAGTGTTCTTGCAGCTACGTGGGAAAAGTGGCCTCTATGAAGCACACTTTCATCAGTTGCATGCCCATCGTGGTAGAGCATGAGTGATGCACACCCATTTGAACAATCGCACTCAACCCTTAGGAGGACGTAAAGGTCTGCATGTACTCTTGGTCAGTTAGCACCTCACAACGGTTGAGAAACGTGCAGCCGAGAATGAAAACGGGACCCGTCCGGTGATGCGAGAATGTGAAATGTACTTATCAGATAGAATATATCAGTTTGGACTCGTGGTCGATCTCGATGCACCGATCGGACTCGTTCAATTTCTTTACCCATTCTCCAGCCTGGTATGCACTGAAGCCTCCAACTTCAAGGTCTGCATCACTTCATCACTCATGACCTTCACAGAGATGGGCAGACTCCATCACAGTACTCTTTGATCACAGTGTGAGGCATGAGATGGCCGAGCAGAAATGTCCCACCAACAGTAGGACCAACGTCATAGTTGACTCAGGTGTGCCAATGATGCCAATGTATAACACGTACCTCGTATCAATTCTGAGAGGGGAATATGCGAAGGAATCAGTTTGCCATTGTAGTAATCTGAACCATCTCGATTCCGTGTGTAGATGTCGAGGACGAATCTGTGGTCGAATCGGATGTTAGCACCGGCCGTGTTGATGGGGTGCTCTATGTACTAATGTCCTGAGCTGTATGCTAAGTAAGAATTTAGGAGAGCTCTTGCATATGCGCATGGCATTGCACCAACCCAAGGGGGATGGTGTGGCTGGGAAGATCAGCGGTACGCTCATCTCGGCAGAGAGAGGCAAGAAGACACAAACGAGTAGGCTCACTGCTTAGCATCCTTGCTGCATGAAGCTTACATGACGTGCGATTTGTCTGCACTCATTAGCCCATCATGCAGCATTGGCATTGGACCTTCTACCTCACTGTCGGTGTGGTCCAATTCATTTGGGAGCTGGTGCTCAACTTCTGGTATTGTCGTGAAGCGCAAGCATGACGTGATTTTGTACTGTCCCTGACGCTGCGCAATATCGAGCTGGTGTTTCGCATTTTTAAGTCATTGTTTGAGATCTTTACTATGCTGCAGGTGAGCATGCTCTGTAGAGCGAGATCCATCAGCTCGTGACACAAACCTTCATCTCTGCAGACGGTCGGGTCACGCTTGCCTTGCTTCACGAGCTCTGTGAGGTCAACAATCTATGGTACAAATGTCAATGGATGATTTCAAGTTCAGAATAATGGCTCGGATGGCCAGGGCATGTGCTGAGCTGGGATGAATGCGGATGGAAGCATCTAAACAGAGCCTTGATAGAAATTCTGTTACCACCCTGTGAAGGATCTCAGGAACTCCTGGATCTGCTCTCGCCTAACCTGTCAGGGTTCTCCGGTCTGAGTAGAGGAGTAAAGACCAACTCGAAACTCAGGGGTAGGCCTCAGCTCAAGCCAGTATACTGTATATACAAGTGGGGTAAGACCCCTGGTACTGGGTGTAGGACCCTGCATACCCTAGATTCGTACTAATACATCATTATGGCGTGCTATGGCGTGCTCAGGCCTAGTGGAGTCAGTCTAAGTCTAGGAGTGTTTATGGAGTCCAGGCCTATGATGTCACTATGATGTAGGGTCACGTGACTGGTACATGTCCGAGGGATGTCCGAGTGGCATGGGTATTTTATGATATACACGTGGAGGTGTAGTGGTACACTCTATATATGGTAACTGGGTGGATAAATAATGGTCTGTGGGCGCTTGAGACTTGTGGCCCAGAAAAACTGTGATAGTATCCCCCCTCCAGGCCGAAGTGTCCTCACGAGGCTTGAATTCTAGTCGTAGATGCGCAGGTGTACAGCTTGCAGGTTCCATTTATTTTTGGGTATCGGTGTCCGAGTAGGTTCCGGGTCATATGTGGTATAAGTGGAGACATCTTCTTCCTTCACTGAGGTATCTTTGAAACGCATGCGTTGCCAGGGTATTGATGCATCATCAAGATAATAATAGCCATGAGTGCATTCTGGGCACTGGATCTTTCCTTCTTCTACAATCCACTGGGCGTTGACTGAGTATACAAATAGATGGTTGCGTGACTTGGGGGTTTCAACGAACAGGACCGTATGTATATAGTGCCGGGCTCACTAGCCAAATGCATACGATGTCTAACTTTTCGGGCAGCCCTATTTCTAGGCTGATCGGGGTATCGAGGGGTACGTGAAGTATGACATCAGCTTGGAACTTGCACTTATACCATTATATCATTTTGTGGTCCCAGTAAATCTTTTCCTTCCATTTCTCTTCTTCTTCTTCCGTCATTCTCTCTCCCTTACTGTCTGGTTCATTGTCGCTTCCTTCGTCTTCTTGAGCACGAATCCTTTGACCACCGGGTATACAGTAGTAAGGAGATTAGGCGGTTTGGGCACCTTGGGGTGTAGCTTATGGAATTTATTAAGTAATAGTATGTAGTCCTTTGCTATCGTAGAGCAGGGTATCCAAGTGTTCTCAGTGTCATCCTTCCCCTTCCATTTGATCAGGTATAGCAGTCCAGTCTTGGACTTCTTGCTGTCTAGTATTTGGCTAATGGTGGAGGATTCGCCTTCTGGAACTGGTATAGTAGTATCATCTTTCTGTACACTATATTGTGCCAGGTGGTAGGGTATTAATAAGGATTCGTGGAAGATGAAGTGTATATGACGCCAAGCGGGTGGGAGCTTGAGTCTGAAAGCTGACTTCCTGACCTTTTCTACTATACTAAATGGTCTGTATCGTTTATCGTCCAGCTTCTTGCTCGGTCAAGTGGTGGTAATATTAGTTCCTTCTAGTAGTACCAGATCACCCTTGGTATAGGTTGCATGGTCTGGGTATTTGCCATCGTGGTACTTTTTCATTATACCTTTTGCTTTGGTAAGGTGATTAGTCGCGTCCTTGGAAAGTTCCTCCATCTCTTTCGCCCATTCTTTAGCTGATTGATTGTGGAGTTCCTTCCTGGTTTTGACTCCCATGTAGAGGTGGTATCCATGTATGAGGTAGAATGGGGTATAGCCAGTGCTTGCCTGTCTATGGTTTCTGTATGCGAACATAGCGAGGGGTATTTTGGATGGCCAGTCGTCCTGTCTATAGGAAGTATATATCCTCAAGTAGGTCTCCATTTTCTGGTTCATCTGTTCAGTCTGCCCATCCGTCTGAGGATGGTAGGCAGTAGAAGGATTTCCCTGGATGCCTAACTGTTGGTATACATTCTTGGTAAACGAGGACACAAACTGTGGTCCTCTGTCAGACCATATCCTTTCTGCTAGTCCATGAGCTGACATTATATGTTTAATGTACAGGTCTGCATAGTCCTTTGAGTTAATTGACTCCTTGCAGGGTATAGCTATGAAGTCTTTCAACTTCAGGTCCACAAATATAAGGATGGAGTCGTACTCGTCTACAATGGGTAGTTTTACAATAAGATCCATGGAGATGTACTGCCAGTTATGATCTGAAACTGAGTTTGGCTCTAATGGTGCGGATCTGTGTTAGCGGTTAGGTTTGGCCTTTTGACAGGTCCCACAACCTTTCACGTATGCCGTAACATTCTTGATCATCTCCGGCCACCAGTACAATCGCTTGATTAATTCCATGGTTCTTTCTATTCCTGGGTGTCCCATGAACGCCGCATCATGATGGGACTGTATCACTTTGCTGATTATTTCTTGGTTGTTTGGGATTATAAGAATTTCACCCCCCCTCCAGAGTGTGCCATCCTCGGCTGACTCGAGCTCCTTTTGAGGCAAAGTTTTCCATAATAAATATTCGGAAGAATGTATGGCGCATAGGTTGAGGATAGTGTCTGTCCCTATAACTTTGGTACTCCGGAACAACTCAGCAGGTAATACGACCTGGTTATCCAAGTGATCCATACCATCGTCGTAGTCTGATCGTCTGCTAAAAGCATCTGCTGCGCTGTTTTTCTTGCCTGGGATATGATGGAGTTCGAAATCGTATTCAGCGAGGAACGACATCCACCGTGCTTGCCGGGGGTTGATCTTCTGAGGTTTCCTAAAATATGTTAGATTAAAATGATCAGTGAAGATCTGTACAGTATGCTTGGCATGTATTAAGTAGTGTCGCCATTCTTCTAGACAGTCTACAATGGCGAGAAGTTCTCTATCATACACTTGATAGTTCTTCTCGGCATCCTTGAACGACCTACTGTAATAGGATATTGGTACCCAAAGATTATCTTGCTTCTGCATAAGAACTGCTCCGAGGGCGAATTGCGAAGCATCTACTTCTACCATAAACGGGTCCTCATCTGTAGGTATGTGTACAATTGGGGCCGATGTGAGGAGGTCCTTGAGACCCTGGAAGGCACTTCGTTCTGTGTCCATCCATTCTCATTCTTGGTTGCCCGTAAGGTCAGAAAGAGGCTTGGCCAAGGAGCTGAAGCCTTTCACAAAATGTCTGTAATAATTACAAAATCCGAGGAACTGTTGAACATCTTTCTTAGACCTGGGTTCCGGCCATTCGGCAATACCTGCAACCTTTGCAGAATCCATGCGAAATTTCCCATGGCCACTGATGTGACCTAGGTACTCAGTTTCTTCTACATGGAACTCGCATTTTTCAGGTTTGCACGTCAACTTTCTCAGAGTATTTTAAGTACTTGTTTTACAACCTGGCGATGCTCCTTCATGTCCTTGGTGAATATTAATATATCGTCCAGGTATACCATAACCTTCCCAGTGAGGATAAGATTGTGGAAGATGTCACTCATCATCATTTGGAATGTTAATGGTGAATTAGTGAGTCCGAAGAACATCACTAGAGGTTCGAATAGACCTCAGTTTGTGACAAACGCGGCCTTTTCCTCATCTCCTTCCTTGATCCGTATGTTATTATAGCCCCACCGAATGTCGAGTTTAGAGTAGTACCGAGCTCCCTTAAGCCAGTCAAATAAATCATTGATTAGAGGGAGCAGGTATTTATTCTTCTTCGTTACTTCATTGAGCTGTCTATAGTCCTGAACTGGCCTTAACTTGCCATCCTTTTTCTTGACAAAGAAGAAGGGGCGTCCCAGGGGGATTTAGACTGTCTAATGCGACCAGTCTTTAGGTTTTCTTCGAGGAATATATTCAGAGCTTCTTGTTCTTTTACGCTCATTGGATATACCTTCCCACAGAAAGGTTTTGCGCTGTCTACTAGTTCTATGGTGTGATTCCATACTCTGTGTTCAGGGAGCTGATCGAATTCAGCTTCCTTGAAGACCTCCTTATAATCCCAGTATTCTTCTGGAACTACCTCTTGCATGCTCTTGGCTTTGGTACTCTTGCCTTGAGCAATGGCTAGGTCGGTGGCCTTGGTGGCTCGTATATGTTCATATTTGGAAAACTGCTTCTGAATGTAGTCCCTGTCCAATGCCAGCACCTTGTCCCTGTCTTCTAACTGGAGCTCCCTGCAATTACAATGCGTGAAGTGAAGCGTGCGTTTAGCCCAGTCAATGTTCGGGTTGTGATCTTCCAACCAATCAAACTCGAGGAATATATCGTGGTCCGAAAGGGTAGTCACATTGAAGCGTCGGCGCTCTCTATGGCCTTGGATAACTATGTCTAATGATACATAATGAGTCATATCGCCATCTCGGTTGGGGGTCCCATCCGTGTTGAACACTCGTAGTGGTCAATCGAACAGTATCTTAGGTATCTAGAACTTAGATACGAATTGTTCATCGATACAACACCTGGTGCAACCTGAATCTAGAAGGGCTTTGGCAGGTATATTCCTATCCCCAACTTCTATTATTACTGGTATATCGATCTGACGATGTCGTCGTACTGCACGGACATTGAATTGTCCTCGCAGCTTCGTACTGGTCAATCCGAAATCAGCGGCCCCTCTAGCTGTTTCCACTATTTTCATTACGACTTCGGTGATAGGGGTATCATTTCATTCCAAGATTAGCTGGGTGACACGGTCCCCATACTCAATCTGGAACAGGGTATCAAGGGTATTGATTAGGAGTATTTTGACTCGACCGACATAGTCAGAGTCTATTACTCTGGCTCCTACATCTATTCCATGTTTTACAGCCAGGCCTGAGTGTAGGGCGATGCATCCGTAGCATCCGCTGGGTATCATCAACTTCAGGCCGGTATCTACGAGGAGACGGGAGCATCTGGGAATGACCACTTCCTCTGCTGAATGCAGATCATACCCTGCTGTGCCTTCTGTTTGACAGGTAGGTACGATAGCTTGCGGGTGGTCTAGAAATACACACAGAGTGGTTTTCTGTGCCTTCTTCTTCGGTGTACACTTGGCCATTGTCAAAGCTTCCACTTGCAAACTGTCAGTGTTCTGAATTGAAGAAACGTTAGGAATTGAGCTATTCACGGAATTAAGCACTGATGCTTCTTGATCTGGCCGAGCTCGATCAGGCACCTCTAAGGTCCCATCATCCTGAGACCCCATTTTCGCTCCTACTACTGTTACATTAGAGTGGGCACCACTACTTGTACCCATATTGTCTGACGTAGTGCTACTGGTACAGTTGAGAGCAGAAAGAATAGAAGATCGAGATCCACTAGGGAGTGGTGGTGTGCTGTCGTCTGCGTCAGGGGTACTGAATTTTCCCACACCTGAGCTTAGACCCTCCTACCCACGTCCCTCCGAGGTGTTTTCAGATACAGTCTGATGGCGCTTCTCAGGCTTTGCCTCCACCACCAATGAACTGACCATCCCCGGGGACCTACCTTTTGGTGACTGTGTAAACCTTGACCCTTCTCAGGCTTTTGTGCCTCTGTGACCAAGGAATGCACATTATTGGTCAGGGAAGCAGAACTGTCTGGATCGAGTCGAGAGTCCTGCAAGACTTGCGTACTTAAGCCTTGCCTAATTGAAAACCTGCCTGGTTGAGCAGTGCGGTGATATGCTCAACCGCGTCCTGGCCGTGAGCAGCACTTCCTAATCAAGTCCCTCTGATCTTGGCAGGTGAACCAGGGCTCGTCCATTCATGGTCCCTTTGGGGCTACGGTCACAGGAAACTTCAGATGATAATGCAGCGATGGGTGGCCGCGAGTCGTTCGGCTGTGTGTGCTTGAAACGGAGTGAAATACCATGAAAAATGCGAGTCGGTGAGTGTCGGGTTCAATTATGGGGATAGGTCTGACTGGGCAATAGTCGAAAGCTGAAGTGTGGAGGTGTGTGGGAGTGGAATGCAATTGGCGACTCCTATGCTCGCAAAACAGCGATAGCTGAGGGTCTGGGCTGAGTCATGAGGACTAGCTACTTCTGGACAAAGCTGGGTAGGTGCTGACGATGAAGCCCTAACTTCCTCCGAACTGGGTTAAGTGTCAACGATGAGTCTCTAATAGCTACCGAGCTGGAACGAGCACCGACGATGAAGCCCTGGGCATCTAGAACTGGTACGAGCACCGATGAGGAACCCCTGGGTGCTAGTGAGGCTACGGGGTCCAATGGGGATGGGATCCTGGTTTAGACTCGTGACTAGTGGTGTGAGAGCAGCAGGTGATGGTGTGAGATGATGAAAGCGCGATAATGTGGCTTAACTGGCTGAAACCTGAGTCGAGCTGGAGGCCACTACTAAGAGTGCTGCCCCTGTCGGTGTCGAGAATCCCAGAGGTGTGAATGTGATCACAATAGATGTAGACGTAGTCAGGCATGATGCCCTAGCATAGACAAGACGAGAACCGAACCCTGCTGCATGGGAAAACGCTTATGGAGAACTTCCTTCCTCTTTTTTTTTATTTTTTTATTTCTATGTACAGTGTGGATTATATAGTGGATCGGAAATGAGCCAGCTGAGTTACTGAAATGCGTTTCTGATCATACATTAGGTTTCCGATCCATGTGTACTTTAGATAGTGCGACTTAGCTTGCAGTCCCTCTGTCCTTCGCCACTATGTCCCACATTGACGGTGTCTTCAGCCTCACCGCTCATGCCTGTGGAGTCTACCCAGTTGACGGTGCCTGTGTGTTCTTGTTACAGAGACTAGATAACCTTGTCTCTATGTCACCTGCTCCCGATGCTCCCAAGGTAATCTGACAGACTTGGGCCACGGCATTTTCAGCTTATGAGGTGAGTTCTCTGGATTGCGGTCCATCATACCGTAGCTCATTTCGCAGTCCTCTAGTCCAGGTTGGCGTGCAATTATCCTACCCGCACCACATCGCTCTCTTTTAAGGCCAATTCCATATATGACTGGCTAATGCTGAATGCGAGTCCTGACTTCCACTAGGTTAAAGGGCTCGCCCCTCCTACATTCGTCAGTTACACTCCGTTTCATGAGGCGGTTGGCCCGCGTTGCACTCCTGCTGAGCTTTCAGAAATTATGCAAGAGATTGTTGCATCCGCTGATCACGGCAACTTTGACAATCTTCCCGAGGGTCGCGTTTACGCTCGCAACTGCTTTTTGGTGACCTACATTGAAGGCGACCTCTTCGTGGATCGTCGCGATCAGACGTACCTTGGTCGGACTTGTCCGATCGAGAACTGGTGGGCCAAGCATGACCTAAAGCGCATTCCTCCACCTTCAGCTGCCTCAGTTGTGATTGCGGAGTGGTCAAACGTGAAGTGGAAGTGGTCGCAGTCCCTTCAAAGGCGTTATCACGTTCTGCATCCGTCGTGAGTGCGGCGTCCTCTGTGGTTACTGCCAAATTGACTGAGTCAAATATGCTGCGCCAATACTATTTCACTGTTCATGCTCTCCCAAAGCATGTGCAGATCGCGTTCCTGAATTTCAGCAAGCCGTGGCCGCATACTAAGGTTGGTCATTCTCCTTTCATCATGCGCGCGTCGCTCACGTTCCTGGCCTAGTGCTCCAAATGCCTGATGAATGGCGACTGCATGATCATGCCCTCTGAGCATGGTGGGCAGGCCTGTGTCTGTTATTGAGTGTCACACCTCAAGTGCTCGTTCATTCAATTGCCCTCCAGTATGTCCTTTGTTTCTTTGATCGCAAATGCTGCCATAGTGACCTTTGTTATTTTTGCGATCACAGACGCCAAATCGCTGGCTGATACTGAGCGTATCCTTAGCGAGGTCCACGGACTGCCCATTCCTAGTGCCCTGCTAGTTGAAATATATACGCAGAAGCGCGCGTGACTGGTCGTGGAGGCGACTCGCATTAGTGAGCGTCTCGAATTCTTGAAGACCTTCCTGGCTGTGAATGGCAAGGCCGTGTAGTCTAGACCCATCTCGATTTGTCCATCATGTACTCAGCTTTCCCGTGTACCATAGTCTGACTGCATTTGTCTCTGACGCAGTGCCGCGAATTCAATGGTTTGGGTGGCTTCGATCGGAGTTGGCTCACGTTTCAGTCCTGCACCGCAGTTCCATCTGAGTCACTCGAACTGGCTTCCTAAGAAATCCGACTGCCTCTACCATGTGGTAGAGGATGATACCACGAGTTTTTAACCACGCGTTCGCCCGTCCGCACTTGGCCAGTTCAAAAAAAAAAAAATTCCCATGGTGCCTAACTCTCCTCTCCCTCTACTGCAATCTCTCAGCTACTCGATGGGCGATCCTGCTACCCCGTCATCCTTTCCATGTCCTGCAACCCCGGTCACTTCTCCACGCAAGGTATGTTGGGCTTCCACACCGTTTGGCTTTGCTAACCACTTTCCTCGACACCTAGGCGACAGACCCAAAGGATGCCGTCATAGGCGTCGTTTACGTCGCTTGAGAGGCGTTGCACAAGGCCGAGCCTCTCGATCCATCCATGGATCTTGAGTTCTTGATACGTGAGTTTCTTTCTGCCTTGGTAAGTGAGCACTCTGTGGTCTTTGTTGCTGGCTAACCCGCTTTCTCCTCTAGCATGGACTTCATTCTTTCTCAGATTTCGTATCACAGACGTGCTATGCCCGTTTCATCAAAAGGCCCAAGTGCACCTCGATGCCTTTGTACAACCATCGTGGCTTTCATGGTGCAGGGAGTTAATTTTGCCTAAGCAGGCTGCTGCCGTCTCAGCGGGCAAGGTGCGTGCGCTGACCTTCGGTCCCACCACCGTCTTCTAACACTGCCTCGCAAGCTTTTCTAGGAACCGAGCCCTCCTCCGGTGACTGAGGCCTTCGTGCACACACCTTCTGATACTGGGGAGGTTGCGGCCTCTGGTTCCCTGACCGCTTCCACCGGTTTCGATGACTTGCTTCCCCTGGCTGTTTCAACATCTGCTTCTGTAGTAGCTGCACCAGTTGCTGCTGTGACTGCTGAGGGCGTTCCTGTCCTGAAGTTCAAGTTTCAAGCTCGTGTGGCAAACCCTGTCTCTATTGACCCTCCTTCCAATTCTGATACCACGGCCATGGAGGTCAATATCCCGCTGGCTACCATGGTCGCTAAGCCCCCTTCCGCACTGGGCTCCAGTACCATTGAGCTTTCCAATAACAATGAGGACAACAGTGACAGCAACGAGGTCCAGTACGTGGGTGGCAACATTCCTAACTTGTCTCCGGCTCACCCAAAGAAGGGTAAGGGGCGTGGCCACAAACCTGCAAAGCCGTCCGGCATGACTGCCATGTTCGAGGATCAGTACGTGCGCATGCCGGTCCATATGTTTCGTGATCGCTCTCTTCTGCCGACGTACCTCCCACTGTGGCAGAGGCCTTTCATCGCTTGCTTGGTAAGTTTAGACTTTGTTCTTTCGATGTTCGTTGCTAACTCCTTCTTCCTAGTATCTCTACTGTTTATCCTCCGAGAAGGTCTCACGTACGTGCACACTGAGCGAGTTCTGGCCGAAGTGTCACAAATGTCATCGCGACCACAAGGCCTGCAAATGGTGGATTCGCGACATGGCCCCGGACGCTAATGATTCGGACGGCTGGCTTTCGCTGAAAAAGATCTACCATCGCAATGGCTGGGCAGTGCCTAAATCCCCTGAGGCCTCGGTGATGGTGAAGGCTTCTTGCCACCAGGTTAGATATGACCGGAAGATGCGCGACGCCAACACCGCTGAAAGCGAGAAGGTGACTGAGCTGGAGTTGCCTCTTGACACTCCCATTGACGAGTACGAGGTTGCACTTGCTGCGGCACCATGTCTTCGTAAGTCTCTTAACTCTTTTCTGTGTTTCATCCTAGCTGATATCCTCTAGTTCTGGTCAGCTCCCTGCCTGACATGCCTGAGACCAAGTCGGAGGTCGATGATGTGTCCGATGAGGTTGTAGTAAAGCAAGAGAAGGAAGCTGCTGGTCCTTCACATCGTAACCTGGCTATCCCGCCACCTCCGAGTGGTGCAGTCCATGCAGCCTTTCTAGTTTCCTACTTACAGTATTCTAGCTCGTCTCGACTGTCCTTCCAAGCATCCTCACATCAATGATTCTGATCCTGATGACATCATGACTCAGCATTTTCATGCCGGTACCATCGTCGTCCCATCGACTAAGGTCCTCAAGCCACGTTCGTCGAAAAGCAAGTCTCACATCAAGGGCTCCTCCAAGACCGCGACTGCGAAATTGGAGCCGTCTCGTGCTTCAGCAACTGCCATTGAGCCTTCTGCAGCTAGCACACAACTCGAGCAAATGATTGAGCTTTCGCAGCAGCTCCTCGTGAAGAATCGTGCCCTGAGGGCTCGCAGATCGTGACTTTGTCGGTGCGCTGGACTCGGGCTGGAGTGACGCAAAGCAGGCTGTCCGCGATTTTGTTCGTATTACGATCGTGATCTCTCCCTCCATGTGCATGGAGCAAATGTATTCGTTTACTTGCCTGAATAAACCGTGTGTCGAAAACCTTGTGCGAACTTGCCTGACTGAAATATTAAGAAAGTTGTCGCAGAATATGATAGTCTTGGTCACTTCCTTGATCCTCTAGCCGAGTCCTTGTCTATGTACTGTTGAATGATTAGTTCGACTTCCTATACTTGTCTATTCTGACTCGTTTTCGTCGTACTGGTCTTGCTGTCCTTCGTCTTCATCTCCTGACTCCTCATCTTCTAATTCTTCGTCTGGTTCCTCTTCCCCTTGGTCATCCACTTGATGCATCTCTTTCAACCTGTTTTCTGATGCGTCTAACATTTCTTTTGCGATCACGATCTTCTTCCTTGCTGCGAATGGTACCACCCTAAATGCAGCAATTGGTTGGTCCAATACTGCTCCATCCAACCCGCAGAGCACGTAGGCTCCTCCCTGATTGCAGAACAGCACAATATACGGTCCAATGTAGTGTGGTCTCATTTTCTGATTGAGTGCCTTCTCAATTTGCATATGCAGAACCAATACTAAGTTTCTGCACTTGAAGTCGAAATCCTTGATCGCATTCTTATGGACTAGCTCGAACTGCCTGGCTGCTTCCCTCCTGGCTTCGTAGACTGCATTATGGATTCTTGCGACTTGTTCCCGATGCTTCTGCAGCGCTTTGGCTCGACTCACGATTAGGTCATCATCAATATCATTCCAACTGGGGCTGAAATTAGATATGTTGCTTCGACGATGTCAAGCGGTATGACTGGATGGGTGCCAGTAACTGCAAAATAGGGTGAGCAACCCATTCGTCTCCTAACCATTACTCTTTCTGACCAGAAAACAGAATGCGTGACTTGACTCCATTCGTGCTCCTCTCCATCGGCAGCCTTGAATAGACCCTGCCGAACATTGAAATGCGGTCGCTCAACAATCCCATTTGCACGTGAGTTGTAACCACTTATCCAGATGTGCTTGACGTGATATTTCTTTTTCAGATAGGCTGCTGCTTTTATGAATGGTGCACCATTGTCAGTGACAATTTTCGATAGGGCCCCCCAGCCACAGAGTATATCCTCGAAAATCCAATCGCTGAGGGTCTTCGCCATCTCAGCTCGAAGCATTCGGAACTCAGGATAGTGGGTGAGCGAACAGCGACCTGCACGATGTACTTAAATCTGTTTGAGGGCAGCATATGCATCGTGTCGAAAATATCGGTGCTGGAATCGCAACCGTTGGTGGGATGAGGATTTGGTGAATCTGTCGCTTTTGGCATATTATGCAAGTCTTGACGAACCAAGCAATGTTGGCCACGACGTCTAGCCACCAAAAGTGTTCACGAATCAACGATCGAGTCAGAAAAATGCCTCGATGTCCTAGTTTGTCATGTGCTCCGGTGAGGACTCTCAGTCAGTTTTCTGGTAGTATGACTGGCTTGTGCGATCCTTGTCCATCTTTTCTCCAGAGGCATCTGTCGCGTTTGAAAGAGTGGACTGCATACTTGAGCATCCGATCGTATTCTTTGTCCGAGTAGTTCTCCGGTCGCTGCAATGTTTCTAGCCAGTCGGTGATTAGAGCGATGAGATGGTCATTCCATCTGGCTCGTGCGGATCGTGGAACATCCTTGTAGCTGACCGTCTTCAGGTCCTGAGTGTCTCGTATGGTTTCCGATCCCTCATTACTTTGAGTCAGAAGCACAAAAACCGATTGCGTGGCTGGCTCCTCCCCCGTTCTGAAAAATTGGCCATCCTCGGTCGATGGCGGATTTCTCAGAATCTGCACTCGGGGAAGTACTTGATGCATAAAGCTGTTCATGCGATCCACCCAGTCATCGAAGTTGGTGTCCTCGATCGGCTCTGGTGGCAGGTCACCTTGCTGTCTCAGTCGGCATGATAATCCATCTGGACCATGCATGACTCCTGAGATGTGGACTAGTCAGAACTGGTACATGAGGATCACAATGACCCAATGATTAGCGCTTGCACTTGAGGCAATGTCTGGGTTCTGCAACATGCCCTTGATGTACTTGGCATCGACTTCGACTATCAGATTGCGAACACTGATCAGATAGACCTTAAGTGCTCGCAAAGCGTGATATAGACCATAGAGCTCGAGCTTCAGTTGCGAAAACCTCTTCTCGTGATCGTTGAGCATGATAGACCCAAACTGACTGAAGAACTGCTTTTTCGATCCGTCAGTTGTGCCTTGGCACAACTGATATCTGACTGCGATCAGAGACATGTCCACTGCAAGAATAACTGGTGCTGATGAGTCGTAATCGATTGCTTGCAAAGCTGGCAATTCCAATAATGCCTGCTTCAGGTCTTCCATCGCTTTGAGCTGTGCCTCGCCAAATTCAAATGGAACTCCTTTCCAAGTGAGCTGCATGAGTGAGTGAGCTCGCTTTGCGAAGTCTTTGATGAAGATCCTCACAACTCCGATCCTGCCTAAGAATGCTCGAACTTCCGATAGGTCCTTGCATGGGCCCCAATTTTTGACTGTCCAGACTCGCGATTCATCTGACAATCATCCAATCAGGGTGCACCTGTGTCCGATGACCATGATCTCTTCGGCGCATAGCGTTAACTTCGTTTCTGAGAAGGTACCACCCCTATACTTCATTTGCTGCACAATCCGATTGAGATTCTGGAAGTGCTCCCAAACAAATCGTCGGATACCATCATTAGCTGCGATCATCTCGAAGCTTCCGTCAGACTTGACATATCTGGTCGCTGGACCTTTGACTGGAACGTCATCGATGTATGGCATGGTGAACGCAGGGATTTCCGATTGCAAAATGTATGTGACGTCGTTGTGGAAGATCGGTACCGAGTTGGTCTACCCCATCGGAAGGGTGACAAGTCGCAAAGCTCCGAATGATGTCTGGAAGGTGGTAAGGTCACGGGAGGTCTCCGCTATGAGTCGCTCAACATATCCAACATATAAATCGAGCATGGCTCCACATGCGCGACCGCCGAACTGTTCTGCTAGGTGTTCTGGAGTCGGCGTAACTCCCGAGTGCTGGATTGTAATGGCATTGAGTGGCTCGAAACTGTGAACAAGTCGCAAAGACTTTTCGTCTTTCTTTATGACACAGAACCATCGCGATCGGTAGGATGAGTAAGAGGGCTTGTAGACTCCGGCGTCCAACTTCTTCTTGATAATCGCGCAGACTTCCTTGTAAATGCCTGGTGGAATTGGAATGTTTCACTGAACCCATGGCTGATGTGGAATGACTGGAAAATCGATCAGTGAGAAATACTGTGACTTGAATCTTCCTCGCTCGGAATCGCTCCAAGCAAATGCCTGGTTATGCAAACACATGAATGTGTGCATAAGAGCTCACTCCTCTGGCCATAAGAATCCTGGCTGGTGCGTGATACCCAAAGCCTCCATGCATTCCTTCATATAGCGACCAGTAGGAAAGAAAGGCCCTGGTCACTCTGGAAGCTCAGGTAGGTGTCGCAAAGGATCTCCAATTATTCGTCGGACGATACGAAATTGCTCGGGTACCGATGCGATTACTGGTCGAGTTTTGAGCACGACTGGCTTGTACTTTTTCTTGGTTGCAGCATAGCCGGCTCTCAAGCTTAACTCTTGATCGCAACCTGGGCCTATAATCATCTGTAGTAGTCGTGAAGTCGAGGTTCGAGGTGTCAGTAGGAAGTCTGAGGTTACTGTGTACAATGATGATACTGCATCGAAGACTTGTCCTGATGCTCGCAAATAGCTTGACTGAACGGAAATGAGATCAAAAGATATGACTGGGGAATAGGCTGATATACTAGGGGTATTTGTGCTGCTTACATCAATGATTAATGCCATCCCGCCGCTTTCGGTACTCATTCTTCCGCTAGTGAAAACCCGAATCCTTCGATTGGAAAGGCTGTGCTCTGACTCGTGGTGGTCCTCTCGGTATCGTGGGTATCGTTGTGATTCTTCCCGTGTTGGGACATACGATTGTAACCATCTGGTTCTCGTTGAAGAAGTTGCGAACTATGCTCTTGGTGAGCACATCAAACAGTCATCCTAGAAGAATGTCATAGGCTGCTGCGCAAATGACGTGGATCTGCAAATATAGGACGATCTCTCCGACTTGGAAAGGTATGTTGCGAACCAGTCCGAGCAACTGGTTGACTTCTTGGTTTAGATTGTAAATGAGTCTCAGCAAGAGACAGACGTCTTCCGACATTGCGACAATTTGGCATTCTGGGTCTAGAATCACCTGTACTCGCTCTTTGTTGTCGATGAGTGTGACTATCGATCGCAATGCTTGGGAGTTTTTTGCGACCGTTAGTTGCTTTGGCTCATCTCTGTTAGGAATGTGCTTCAAGTAGACATTGTAGGGATCGGGTATTATTGAGCCTGTCACTGCTAAAGGCTCCCCTGGACAGGTGAACTTCTCTTCCTGTCCGATCATAGAGCTGCTGTCTTCCACATTTTCGAAGATTGTCACCATTCCGGTCGCACTTGGAGGTACTACACGCTTCAGTGTGCACGCTTCACGATACTTGTTGCACACATCTGGTGATATCGACAGCAACTCCTCCATGGACAACGTGACAGCCGACAACTTCATCGATCACTCAAAAACTGTAGTCACAAGCTTTGGCTGGTAGACTGGTGGGGCATTGCGATAGGCTGCATCTCTTGCTCCTGGCTTTGGGGCTTGACCGAAGTTATGCGTGTTTGGTGGAACGTATAACGCGTCTCTAGCCGATCGGAAAGGATGCTCTGGCACTGCATCCACAACTGCTGGAACTGACGTACTCGGCGCACTCTCAGTGGCCTTCTCTGGCTCCACCTGAGGTTGCACTTGCTCGGATGCCTTTTCTGACTGTGCTGGCTTTGCAGCTAATCTTGCTGGTCTTCGTGGTGGCATATGAACTCTGTCGAAGACTGGTCGTGATCACTTTAAGTTGAATAGCTCCTGTTCCAAAGCTTCGATCCTATCTTCTGTGCCTAGCGAGAATGAACTGGCTTTGTCCTCTGAGACTTCAGATAGATTTGCCGCTGAGACCGATGCTGCGACTGGAGTCTGGTTGCATCTGTGCCACTCGTAAATGTGATCGCGAATCGTAATGCCTGGAATGGTGCGAGGTACGAAGGTGCCATTCGGTAGGACAACTTTTCCAGCTGCGTTGCATAGGGACTTGCCACTCTTTATGTCCTCCTCGACGTGCTTGCATGTTCTGATCATGCCTCTGGCTTCTCCGCAATAGTGGCAAAATCCACTCAAACTTCCATTTGTGACTGGTGGTCTGCTTGCAGTCACAGCTTGACTCCCATTCTGCTTCGCAATTTCACCTGTCACAGCTGTCGTGAGTGTCTGGACTGACTTGACCAGGCTCTCAATAAGCAACGAAATATCCTCGCTCTTGATTGCTGGTGCACTACTAGTCAATGTAGTTATAGTCAGCTTTACTGTGGTTGGCCCTGTGCTAGTGCCATGCAACACAAACTTTGCGGCCTCATAGACGTCGTCTACCCAGTAGGGATCATCTGGGTAGTGATCCGGCTGCTTCAGCTGCAAGCGTTGCAAAATGCGACTCCACGACTCCAGTGAAAATCCTCGAACGAACGCACGATTGCGTTTCGACTCCGAAATGCGGTTCTTGCCAATGAAAAACGAGGTGATGGCTAGGAATTCCCGATGATAGTTTCCTAGTTCCATGATCGTCTGAATTCCCAATCAGGCTCACTCCCCGACTAAGAAATCCATGTCTTGAACTTCCCATTTGCGCTCTGTATCTGCGCCTGGATACAGCTCCTGTATGGCTTGTCGCAAATCGACATAAGTCTTCATGGGATCGGAATATTCTGGAAGCGACTCCACTAGATCGGCAATATCTATATTGAGATAGTGTTTCACCCACAGCTTCTTTTCCACTTCATTCATTACTTGGCAATGCGTGAATAGGATTTCTAGGTCATCGAAGAAGCGAAAGAGGGTTCTGGGCTGATCAGGATCGAAAGTGGGTGCTGATCGATCACCACGAAATGGCATCTGATTGGTTATGACAGTACCCATTTTGACTGTGGCTGTGGGGGTCGGTAAATTAAGTGTCTGGGTAGGGTTCTGGACTGGATTCGATGCCTGTTCTGCTGCGAAGGCTGCTTCTAGCTTGTCTAGAAGAGTCCTAAGTGGGATTTCTTGCGATGAAGCCTCAGAAATGTGTTCCGACTGAGCTTCCACAGTCGAAAACTCTGAAGAATGATGTGATAGCAGGGTAAGTGAACTAAGTGGGCTAGTGGTTCTAGAAGCTGGTGATCTCGATCGTGAAGCTGAGGAACATGTTTCAAATGACGGAGATGGTCGGAAATTGGCTAAGTGGGGTCGGCCTTCTTCTGCTCACTCGAATCCGGCCCTCTGAAACTCATGAAGTCGCCTGAGCCTCTGATTGAATGACGAAAAGACTTCTTCGTCCGATTTTTCACCTATGGTGGTATTTTTGACTCTGTTTCAAGGGAATACCAAACTGCTTCTTCGGTTTCCGATCGTAAGGCTGACGACTCAGTGCTGTGGAACTTTTAAATCCTCTCCACCCCTCGCGGTGGGCTCCAGGAATGATATGCTCAATCGCGTCCTGGCCATGAGCAGCACTTCCTAACCAAGTTCCTCTGCTCTTGGCAGGCGAACCAGGGCTCGTCCGTCCATGGTCCCTTTGGGGCTACGGTCACAGGAAACTTCAGATGATAATGCAGCGATGGGCGGCCGCCAGTCGTTCGGCTGTGTGTGCTTGAAATGGAGTGAAATACCATGAAAAATGCGAGTCGGTGAGTGTCAGGTTCAATTATGGGGATAGGTCTGACTGGGCAACAGTCGAAAGCTGAAGTGTGGAGGTGTGTGGGAGTGGAATGCAATTGGCGACTCCTATGCTCGCAAAACGGTGATAGCTGAGGGTCTGGGCTGAGTCATGAGGACTAGCTACTTCTGGACAAAGCTGGGTAGGTGCCGACGATGAAGCCCTAACTTGCTCCGAACTGGGTTAAGTGCCAACGATGAGTCCCTAATAGCTACCGAGCTGGAATGAGCACCGACGATGAAGCCCTGGGCATCTAGAACTGGTACGAGCACCGATGAGGAACCCCTGGGTGCTAGCGAGGCTACAGGGTCCAATGGGGATGGGATCCTGGTTTAGACTCGTGACTAGTGGTGTGAGAGCAGCAGGTGATGGTGTGAGATGATGAAAGCGCGATAATGTGGCTTAACTGGCTGAAACCTGAGTCGAGCTGGAGGCCACTACTAAGAGTGCTGCCCCTGTCGGTGTCGAGAATCCCAGAGGTGTGAATGTGATCACAATAGATGTAGACGTAGTCAGGCACGACGCCCTAGCATAGACAAGACGAGAACCGAACCCTGCTGCATGGGAAAACTCTTATGGAGAACTTCCTTCCTCTTTTTTTTTTTTTTTAATTTCTATGTACAGTGTAAATTATATAGTGGATCGGAAATGAGCCAGCTGAGTTGCTGAAATGCGTTTCCGATCATACATTAGGTTTCCGATCCATTGAAACATGTCGCAAAGCTTGCTCCTGCCCCCTCTCCGTATCCTACAGTCAGGGAACTGGAAGTCTGGCCCTGCCAGGGTTCGTTGGCCTGCTACCCTGCCTTCCATTCACTTAGCACACTTGTTCATCTCCAAGTTGCCTAACCGGTCACGTTCCGTTCTTGTGCTGTGCCTCGTAATCGGCTACGCTTCTTCGTGGCTTTCTCGTTATTTCCGTGCCTTATGTTCTCCTTCTGACCTCTTCATGCGGTTCAGTTTTCCCAGGCAGTCGGCAAGGCCTTCCTTTGCCCACTCTGGACTGTTCCAGCTTTGGTGTTTGTTGTTCCGGATCACGGTGACTCGCTATCTGATTGTGCGATAGTCGGACGCAATTTCTGGCATTTTTTGATCACAGAATATCTCAGTGCGTATCAGCGGGGTTGGCCACAATGGCTGCCTTGAATGCTTGTATGGCCTCAGTTTCTTCTACCGTATTAGCCTGAGCTGCAGGCTGGGCATCCTTTTTGCGCCAGCACTGCGACTTTCTGTCGTAGTAGTGGGTGTGCCATATATCTGTGCACGACCCCTTTTTCGACCTTTCCTTTCTGCAGGTACCACACTTTCGGTGCTTGTCGCATTCATTTTCCATGCCTACCATTTCCTTGTGTGGCACCGCTTTTCCTGCCTCATCAACATTCCTGACGGACACCCTTCCAGATGTCCTGACCGTGTTTGCTGTTACCGTAGTTGAACCTTCCTCCTGGTGGACTTGTCGGGTCTTGGAGTCTTTTACTTTTCCCTTGCCCTTTCAGTCCTCATAGGTGGATGCCCACTGCTGCTGCTGCTGAAGGTCTAGCCGAGCTGCAACCTGTTTCCACAGATCGTAGCTATTGACATTCTGGCTAATACCTTCAGATGCCCATACTCTATCACAGAGTTCCTTTCTCATGGCCGTCCTAAGTAATTGGAGCAGCAGCTGCTCATCCTTGTACCCTGAGACCTTGACCCAATGTTCCCATTCGGCTTCAAACTCTTTCCAAGGCTTAAACCTTTGCTGCATGGTGCGCAGCATCCATTGACCTTCCAGCTCCAGGTTCGCAGGGTAGTACATTTTCTTGAAATCTGTGATGAAGTCCTGGAGCATGGCATAGACCACGACACCTTCCATCATTCATTCTAGGAGGGAAGCCTTCCAGTGGTCTATCTATGGTCTGCGAATGTACAACAAGGCCCATCGAATCTTAGCCTGCTCATCCTCAAATTCGCTGGGTTTCATGACGATGTAGTTGATTACATCGACGAGCCATGCCTTAGCCTTGGTTTTGATACTGTCGAATGATTCCGGGAGGTTGACCTTTGGTCCTCGGAATGACTTCCTATGTACTTCATCTGAGGATGCCGGAGTGGGGGCTGCAGAGCGGTGGTCCCTATCTGGTGGCAGAACTGGTTGCTCTGGTGGAAATGCGTAGTGCGCCCCTGCCAATTCATCATCTTGGTCTCCCTCTTAGGAATGTGCTGGGGAAATTGGGGGCGTCTGCACCCTAGGGGGCGGCTGCTCAGGGTTTGCCTGACATGTCGGTTTGAGCCCGCTAGGGCCGGCAGGTCCAGTGACTCCTGTTGCCCATTCCCGAATATTCCATTGTAGAAGATCCTGCCTCTTCTTGCCTTTGTCGATTGGTTTCTTGGGTGATCGAATGGGGGAAGGAGGTGGCGGTCACACTAGGGCTTTCAGATTCGTAATTTGAGCTTTCTGGGTCTCGTTGATATCTTCGAGGCCCTTCACCCTCTCCTCACTGGACTTGAGCGCCTTGGTTATGGCGTCAAGCTCTGTTTTTAGCTGGTGAATCTGGTTGCCACCCTCTATAGCACGCTGTTCTGCGGTGATTTTTAGTTCTGCATTCTCCCTCATGAGGCAGTCTCAGGTTGCTTCCACGGTCAAGTGTGACTCTCGTGCCTCCGTCAACTCCCTCTGTGCATTGTCAAGTCATTCACATAAGCGATTGTAGTCAGCTTAGAGGTGCTGGTAGGCCCATCGCATGTCCACGGGTTGTGTCCAGAATCCAGGGGTTTCTTCTGTTGGAGGTGGGAGGCTGGGTCGTGCCAGATAGTAACCTCACCTGTTGTCAGGGAACATGTATTGTTCGTACCCTGGCAGGGTTCCTGAGGCGTGGCTCAACCAAACATAGTCTTGGCCCCTTTCTGCCCCTCCATGTCTTGCCACCACATCTACCTGTGAGGTTCAATACCGGGTTTTATCTTCTTCAGAATGATCCCGCGCCCAGATATCGTACTCCCATTGATGAAAGCACCTTCCTGTCCTTGGTTCATTAGGGTACAGGGTGGCAAATTCATCCACCAGCCTTGCTGAAGGTCCCCTTCTCTGGGGAATGGCCTCCAACATGGCCGGCGTCATGAAGTATCTGGGGGTGGGAGCAATGATGTTGGTGTCATCAAATGACATTGGAGTGGGTGCCCTGGATCCTTAGCCTTCGGGGTTCAGGAGTTCTTCTATGGAGTGATCGGATTGTGCAGCCATTTTCGGTGGTGTTGCCTGGTCCGGGTGTTGGCGACCTATTCAGAAAGGTTCTTCTTCGTCGGAGGAGATACCGTATTCTTTGTTAAACAGGAGATGGTACAACCCCTTGTCGTCTTCTACCGATTCAAGTCATGTGGGGGCCTCCCGGACTATGCGATGTGGCTGATATTCGAGCCTTTCATAATAGTCGATGACGACTCGATAGCGATATAGGATGAAATGAGCTTGTGCGACGTGAGGTTGGTAGATGAAGTCTGCCCGGAATACGACGCTGATATGCTCATAGATCTGATCCCACTCTATCAGTCCTGGAGCTATGGTATAGATTTCTGTGTATCCTTCCAACGAGAACCTTTGCATTTGATGCTGGGATCTACTCGCGGTCTTGACCAGTTGTTCTTCACCAAGGCCTTGTAATGACCCAGACACAGCTTTAAAGTCCTGCTACTCCTAGTAGGTCTAGTTACTACGGAGTCCTGAATGACATGGTTCGCAGTCGCAGAGGAATCTTTGTGGTCTTTGATTATTTCACCACCAGTGTCCAACTACCTCTGAAGGGATGTAACCTTGGTTCACCTGCCGTTCCAGCAGAGCTTTCCAAGAGTTCGTCCCACGTCAAATGACTATTTGTCTATGTATGTATTGGTAACTAAACCCCTAAGAGGTCAGAACTGCGCAGGGGTTGAATACGCGTCTGGTGCCACTTTAGCACTGAGCAAGTAGGTTTAGTCCCTCGCTACTCGAGGTTTTTGCAGGTCACACCGGAGCAGTCCAGAAGTGTTTCTGATTCACAGCTTCCTGTAGTGGGTTTCTTTCAAAGGTGTCCCTGACCTCCCGCAAGTTCTCTCTTGTCTGCGGTTGTTACTACTGATCCAGATGCGCTGTCATAAGCAGACCGCACCCTACTGTAGTTAGATAGTTAGACTATCCAGATGCATGACAGCTTGGCTGAGGATATTTTATATGGACGAGCAGTCCCACACTTCAGAGGTCCACTGGTGCACTTTAGCTGTGGTGAATCCTCAATAGTGGTACCCTTTTAAGGAGTACTGCGTCCCTTTCTCCTAGTAGATTCTGTCATCGTCAGGCTCTCCGGCCCCTCTTAACAGCCCTATTGGTTTCAACCACTAGGTTGACTAGAAAGTCCCCTTACGCTTAGGGTCACGGCAAAGTTTAGGACTGTAGTATGTCGCCCACTTTCCCAGGAGGCTGGTTTAGGGCCTTGTATTCTGACTAATAATTCGCATATTTGCTTCACCAAAGAGGTTCAGCAGGGCGCGGCTAAGCCTGAGGAAAGTGGGAAGAGCTCTGGGTGAGCACGATAGAGATGGAAGTGATCGACAGCTGTATACATTCTGAGGCATCGACCGGTGACCACAGAACAAGAGGAGCAGTTTCGAGTTATGTAAAGAATCTCAGGAACTCCTGGATCTGCTCTCATCTAACCTGTCAGGGTTCTCTGGTCTGAGTAGAGGAGTAAAGACCAACTCGAAACTGAGGGGTAGGCCTCAGCTCAAGCCAGTATATATATAGTGGGGTAAGACCCCTGGTACTGGGTGTAGGACCCTGCATACCCTAGATTCGTACTAATACATCATTATGGCATGCTATGGCGTGCTCAGGCCTAGTGGAGTCGGTCTAAGTCTAGGAGTGTCTACGGAGTCCAGGCCTATGATGTCACTATGATGTAGGGTCACGTGACTGGTACATGTCTGAGGAATGTCCGAGTGGCATAGATATTCTATGATATACACATGGAGGTGTAGTGGTACACTCTATATATGGTAACTGGGTGGATAAATAATGGTCTGTGGACACTTGAGACTTGTGGCGTGGAAAAACTGTGACACACTCACATTATCTCAGCACAAAGCGCTGGCTATACGAGCAGCTGCCACGCGACTCATATATTCCTTCAAAGCCTCACCCTTCTGGTGCTGTTGCCTAAAGGGAAACCCAGAAAACCTCCTTTCTTTTTATGGGCCCTGTGCATAGTATCGGGCAGACACCGTCGGCAGCATGAATCTGTTCACATGGCATGGTACAGCTCTACAGGTAGCACGAATCTGTTCACATGGCATGGTACAGCTCTACAGGCAGCACGTGGAGTGTGCAGAAGAAAATGCTGAACAAAGGTGGAGGGTAAAAGACAGCGGGAGGAGGCATAGGTCGAGACTTGCGCGGGCACCTATCTCGGGCATCTTTCGATAGGCCACAGTGCTGTCTTTCGTGACTCGTCGCATCTGGCAGCTTGCCTTGATGTGTATCACCCAATCTTCTGCAAGACTGCGATGCCTGCGACCAATCTGGTGTCCATGAATGCAGGCCAAAGGGTATGATCACGTTGAAATGATATGCTTTGCTGATAGACCTAAGCATTCTTTGTCCTGCTGCAAGATATCCAAGCTGCCGAACCACGTCCTCCGAGTCAGCAGGACTTGCTTTCGAAGGCGCATTGATGTCTCTTCCATACTGGTTGTCGGCAAGTTGTCTGTGAGGTCAGTTTGAAGGAGAGCAGTTGTCGGATAAGCGAGAGACTGTCTGGAGTTCTTTCCGCATCTAGACTGCCATCATTCATGACGTTCTGCTATATATGTTCTACCATCGCACAGCCTGCATAGATTTATTTTTCCACGGGAAACCTGATGCAAAAATGGTGAAAATATCTTATATCTGGATATGGAAATAGTTTGAAAATTGGGCGGAGACAATTAAATTATGTTATGATTGTTTTACCGAAACGTATCAGCAATAGTGAAACTATTTCCCAAAGGAAGATATTTCAGTCCAAAAATATGTGATACTGATATGTTTCAGTGAAGCAATTGTAACATAATTCAATTGTCTCCACCTGATTTCCAAACTATTTTCATATCCAGACTTAAGATATTTTCACCATTTTTCCATCAGGTTTTCCGTGGAAAAATAAATCTGTGCAGGGCTGTGTCACTATGTACGTGCTTGTGTACCAATGGAGATCTCGCTGAATTGATTCCGTCGAAATTGTAGCACACACACCTCCTTCTAACCACCCGCTCTTCCCACCCAGGTCTGCCCAAGTCCGCGCGACCTAAACATTTGTGCGACCGTTGGACGTTTCCTTTTCATGCCCATCAGCAATCTGAATATTCACTGACACGGACCATATGTGACCCTGATAAATTCGGTATGATATTGTGAATGTATTGCCATAAAAGGGAATTTTAGCGTATTAAACCGGAGTTTGACACGGTCAACCCATGTCTCTGGTGATTAAAATTTTCACCCTCGCGGCGGCGCGGCGCTGATGCTGAAGCTGCCCGTGCTGTGAGCGTGCCCTGCTGCGTGCTCGCCCACACCTTCGTTTGCGCACCGTCACCACGACCACCTCGAATACCCCTCCAAAGTGCATCCCACCCGTACCAAATATTCTATCTCCCGCATCCAGAAGGACATCAAAACAAGATGTGTGCATCTCCCCTCCTCTTCTCTCCTGTCCATGCCATTCCAGCTACAGCTCGCATCTCCTATTTCACAACTGTCTCTGGTGCACTCTGCGCCGCGTCCCCATAGCATAACATTATCTTCATGACGCTAACTGACTAGTCCTCTATCCTTCAATCCCGCAGACTACGACCTCGTCAGGGTGTTTCAACCTGACTCGCCAGGGAAGATTCGCCCGGGAAGCGGCATAGCCGCTTTCGGGCAATCACCGCCACCTACGATGCACTGTATGGCCGCCGCTCGTTCGCCTAGTCCGGAGGCCCGCCACCAGTATGAGTGGCCATGCTCGCGGAGACTCTCGACGCACTCCGAGTTTCTCATAACAGAGCCTAATGAAAATGACGAGGATACAGAGAAGAACTTGGTGATGGTCTCCGTGGGCCTGCTGGTGCGCAGTTGATATTTTCTAAACAATGGACTGTGAGATTCTGATGGCACCCTAATGCTCTGACCTGCAGCTGGTTGGGATCAGCCTCAAGGTAACCATCTTGCTGCTGCCTGCAACCTCACACAGGTGCGACGAGAAGCAAGAGAGTAAGGACACGAGTGGCGGCAGGAGATCCATCGAGGCATGCAGGATTTCAAGGAGCGGCAAGAGCAGGAGCAGCTGCATCATGACGGGTCTGACGAGCAGCATGGTTTACGGCCGTCACTATAAATTAAGAACAAGGTCATGCTCTGCGTGAATATGTTCGTTTATTGTACTACTAGCATTCATGTAGACACTGTATACGTATATATCCTTCAGCTATCATTTACCTTCGTTTCTCTCCGTTCCATTCTTCATGATCTCCGCGGCAGCTCCAGATGCTCCGGGCCAAAATTATGTGGTAACAACTCTCCGATGGTGCTCTCCCGCACGCCGCCGTCAGGCTTGCCCTCTGCAATGAGTGCATCGCTGTTCTCGGGGCATGAGCAGTACAGGCATGTTCAGCGTGCAGAACTCGCACAGCACCTGGCAGCAGATCCAGCACGGGGATATGGGTGAGGGGACGTCGCTGCGGGAAGAGAAGCAAGATGGGCATGGGCAGAGAAGCGAGATGGGCATGGGCGGAGAAGAGAGGGTAGGGGTGTCCGTACTAGCTAGGTGGGTGAAGACTTACGTTACGACTGCGAGTGTGACTGATGATTCTTGGACTACAGCAAGTCATGATAGTATATATATGCGCCTGCACGCATGCCGGTAGCGATGCAGAAGGTTCCACCATTTCCTTTGTCTGCCACATCCCTAAGCGAGATAAATATGCCAGCTCCTGTGAATGTGAGTGCTCTTAGGCCACTTCTGCATACTTACGTCATTGACATTGGCAGACCTTCGATGGCATGCAGTCGAGCTATCCACTTCGCTTTCTTAGGGGTTTCTCCACTCATGTTGTACGCCCGTCGGCCATCTATGCGATTAATGTTGTCGGCACCGCTCTGAATTAGGCAAAGCGCCCCTTGTCATTATACGTCTGCGCATGGCTGATTCTAAAGACGGCCGTGCTCATTCAAGGTTCCATAGCACATTTGTTATGCTCCTTGCCTCTCCTACCTTTGCTTCTGCCTTGTCCCAATTCTTCTCAGGTTCCTGATGCCCTCACAATTACACCGCGGGACACTCCAAATTTTGTGTCATTAGACCAGAGCATCTGGACGAAGATAGACCGGGATTATTTCGACGAATGGCTTGATGCTGCCCTCCGCAACTCGGGGTTCAGTATTGACCTGATGAAGGCAGGGATTGTGACAGGAGAACTCGTCCCGCTAGTGTGGGTTAGCTCTCTGCCCAGTGCAGAGCGATTGACTGCTGTGCTGGATGACCTGTCAAAGGGAGCCGAAGAGTCATCACAAGGGCTTCAAAAGTTCAAGGCTGCTGTCTTAAGTGCGATTGATCAGTGAGTACATAAACCTTCGATCACAGATATGAGCTTTACCTAGCTACCTTGCAGCATCTCCATTGCAGACGATTTTGCTGTTCATCAGCAGAACTGTCCATATCTATCCAGACCATGGCTATCTGACGATGAGGGATTGTCCAAGTCACAGCAATTAGAGCCATGGGTGGATCCCACGGCGATCGCTTCAGCCTTCATGAAGACGCTTCTGGTTGATGGAGAGCTTTACCAATCAAGACTGGTCTGGCTGAAACAGCAGCTGGCAGTGTTACACGAACTCATAGTCCAAGATCATGCCAAGTTGACTCACCGAAGGGCAACTATTCTTGCCCAATGGTGGACGTATCTTGGCTGGAATCAAGACAAGTTGCATCATCTTGATAGTGACTTGACCTTGATACATCGCATCGATAGTCACCGCAGGCACGCCCTGGCGTACACAGTTGGGGCATTGCAGACACTGCAGGAGCTGAACAACCAAATTCAAGACTCTCTGCAAACAGCGCAGCATCCTGCATTCACGGGCTACATCATACCTGTCAGGCTGCAGTCGAGGAGCATTCAGACATGTCTTGAACGACTGAAGAGGGTAGCGAAAGGAGAGAGGAAAACGACGGCCATGAAAAGGATTTCAGCTGTACCGCTCGATGGGTGCCGATGATGAATGTCTGGCTTTACTCACCCATACTTGATTGCAGTATATATTCACATTACTCATAGGACCAGCTATCAGAGCTGTATACGGACAAGATTTCAGTGTAAACGTTAAGTTATAGTAGGCCCATCTTGTATGTACGGTCCATCTGCATCAGGCGTCATTTTCGTAGATCAGCGCACTGGCCTTATGTACTTCGTCGTAGATCAGCGCACTGGCCTTATGTACTTCGCAATCTACCTTGCTCCTAACTCGCCGGTGTCCTATATTCATCACTTATAGCATCAGAAAGACAAGAAGATTTAGACGATATAATGATGCTGACAGGGGTGTCATGCTGACCTAGGGAGAAGTAACATCAACGTCGAAGGGCACGGAGTGCGGACGAACTGAGAGTGCGTTGAATCGAGAGCGGTGGAACATCGAAAGGATGTCGACATTATTGCAGGTGGCCAGCATATACGGCGAAACATCATATTTCCACAAGTGCCGACTCGTCTATTTCACTGCTCGAAATGGTCCCCGTGCTGTCCTTCTGGCATCGGAGCATCTGATCATGTGCTGACCGTTGTGGCCTGGTGTGTAACGCCAGAGCCTGGCCACTCTCCATGACTCTTGCGTTGATATTCTAAGATATTCATCATTTCGCTACCTTCGGCATACGTAATGCTGATGGATCTAACGCTCCCCCTTGATCTAAAACGCAGGCAGAAATCTGGAGGTTAGCCGTAACCATACAGTCCCCTAGTCTCCGAAGACGCCTGATGATGCCAAGGCGGATGTGTAGCGTGCAAGGGTTACGGTTTGCCACCCCTTCCTGGCCGGTACTCTTAGCTGTGGCGTAGTCTTTCCGCTGATGTGGCACCAGGCCCCTCACTGTCCGTCGTGCCATGCGGGTTTAGGACGTATTCAGATTTTCCCGACCAAATACCGTTCTCCGTGTCCTCAGTGCTCCCTGGGTTTTGCAATTCGTCATCTTCCTCGCACAAGCAAGTTCGCATTCTCTTGTGCCGTCGTTATGCTGCGAATTTCGTTGATGCTGCGAATTTCGTCGAGGGTATCAAAGTGATCCAATGCGATCCAAGAAAATCTTATGAGTTCTCCTGTTCAAGCGATCGAACAGAACCTGTTGTAGTCGCCTGGAACGGCCTAGTCAATGTACTTTGTCGATTTATAGTTGTAGTGGACATGCCAAGGATAAGCAGGACGAGCTCCTCTCGGATGAGCTGGCTCTTCGTTATGATCCGCATAGTTTCTAATTCTGCGTGCCATGTGCATGAGGCCGGGAGGTCTCAGCTGAGTATCTACACGCAAGGACATCACGTATCCGAGAAGAATCCCAGCACGCCCGCCCACTCTCCCGCATCAGGCTCCTGCAAAACGGCGCACTTTAACGAACTCCTCCAAGAATAAGGTGGGCTCCTTAGCCCCGCTGTGCAGGAACTCGCGGATGTGCATCTCCCACTTCTTGATCAGGCAGAACTTGGCCTCCCCTGACATAAGGTATGTCCTCCCGCAGAACGGCGGCAGGCGCTCTCGGTACGCCATGATGGCAATCTGTGCAATCCAGTAGTACGTCAAGGCCTGTTCGAGGAAGCGTGGGACCCCGTTCGAATACGGCGGCGAATCTGGTGAGCCCAACCAGCTTTGGAGCCAGTTGTGCAGGGTAGCTTGCAACGGCCATAATCGTCCTTCGCTGATGCGGCTGGCATGCTCAAGTAAAGCGTCGCCATCTGTCGCCGTCTCTGACAACCGAGACTCGATGTCTTCCTCGAAGAACTGGCGCAGAATTGCGTGGATGACGACGAAATGTGCAAAGGGGGCAGTACGGGTGCAGGAGCGAATCGCCCGCATTCTCCAGCCGGGCGTAAGTTCCCCGGAGAGAAGGACCGCGAAGGCGTTCCGAGATCGTCCCGTACGGTGATGGTTTTTGGAGGACCGAAAGCCACTCCTCTGCTGTTGTAGCTGCCCATAGAGTGTTCTCGCAAGGGAGGTCGATGTCGAATTCGGATGTCACGTAGGTGGGACGGAGATCGTAATACAAGCAATGACAGCCATCGTGCAAGTACGAGAGCGTGAGAGCCCTGCACGCACACTGATATCAGCAAGGAATGCAACATGAGAGATGACAGAATGCTAGTCACCTCTTAGCAGTCTCTCGAATTGCCCAATCGCGCCAAAGCTGATCGAGTGAAGATGGCTCTATGTTTTCCGGCGCTGTCCACTTCGAGATCTGTTCGCCGAAATCACTTAAACGTATCATCTACAAGACCTTCAATACCGATTGAACATGTCCGTATATATGCACTTACCATTGTTAAGACTCCATGATAAACAGCTGAAAGCGTACGTTGCTTCGAGGTTTTGTGGAATAAACCCAGAGTTTGTAAGAGATCCATGGCAAGGATCAATTCAATTTGACGCTCCCAATCGACAGACTCCTTTCCCTGTATACAGGTAAACCGATATTGCCAGGCACAAGCCGCATAAGGTGTGACTTACAAACTCAACGATGAGTTCGTCTCTCGCTTTCGTAAGGACCGAATTGATGAATTGGTCGGCAGCACGTGTCTTGACATACAATGCGCTGCACGCTTGCATGGCTGCAAGCAGCAGCGGCGATTTCCCCTCAAACGTGAAGGTAGCTGGATGAATGATGGGCATGTTTGGCAGATATGCGGAGAAGAAGAGATTGACTGAAATACCGTTTCAGTGAGAGATCACTACGATGGTAACAGAGTACATACGGTAGGACTGGAGATCCGCAGATGATGGGCTATTAGAAACACTGGATGTCGACGATAGAGAGGCACCGTAACTATTTCCCAGCATACTTTGTAATGATGTTATATCTCGAT